TTGTAGTGTCCATAGAAATTTGCATGCTCAAAGTCTAGTGACCGCGGATTTATTCATATTTTTTTTTTACTATCACTTTACTCCCCAGTGACGGTTATGTTTAGGGGTGGACCATCATGCTTATACTTTTTTCATGGTTCATGCTTAATTGTACGTTTTTGTATGAAATCACCACCTCGTAAAATATTTAGGTTTTCCCGTGAGATGCAGCATTTACTCCCTGTCATAATCTCAGACCCGTCCATCAGTCAGTGTCCTCCATTCCAGTTTGGTGTTGTATGCCATTCCCAGCTCCTCCAGTTTCTGCTGCAGCTGAAAAACAAAAACGTTTGTCACCAGCGAGATGCACAAGAACCTGAACAAAACCGCTTTGTTAGCAAAATGTAACCTTTGCCAAGATGGCTGCTTTCAGTTGAAGGTCAGACACGTCCTGATGAGATTTCACTTGGATTTTCAAAATCTGCCTCTTCTTCAGCACTGAGTATAAACACACAAACACACCTACTTTTACAATGAGCTTTAAAAGCTCTAAACTAGTTGTATTTGTTATGCTCAGCTGGTTGCATATTTTTCTTTCTCTCTACTCTGCTGTGACAACAGGCTAGGAACTCATCAGACATCAGTTAAATGAACATTATTTCTGCAATTCAACTTTTTACCTTTACATGCAGCTGCCTGATACATGCTTATAATTAATATTTTCATTTTCTGTCCAGATATTTTCATTTTATGATGGTCCAGAATTGGAAACACAGCTGCAAAAAGTGATTTTCTTCCTCAGAATGTTAGTCTTGTTTTCCAGTGCAAATGCTTTATGCTTAAGAGAAAATATCCGCCAGTGTGGTCAGAAAAATAAACTTGTTTTTTTAACAGTTGATCAGTTTGATCAGCTTCAATTAAAACACGACTTCTTATCTGAAGTCATTGTACATCTCCAGTAAATGTATCTTAATTAAATAAGCTTTACATATTTATACTGGAAAACAAGACAAGATATAACTTTTTTTTTTTAAGTATAAATCCCATTATAAAACACAAAACCATTGTAGGTGCCCAACAAAATATGCAAATACATCACATTTACACACAGGCAGAGCAGAAGAACGGCTTTTGAGCGCTACACGTCTGATCATCCCACAGTCTGCTATCTCGTAACTGTTGTACCACACATTCTCCCGATCCATCCGGCTGATCAGGATCCCAGTTTCTGAATGCAGACGTGCTGTTATCGGACCAGATGTATTCGTCTTTGAATAGGCCGATGTATGCGAAATGTCCTGCAGGTATTAGCTGCCGGATCTGAAGGTTCTCCTCCTCGTTCCTCACGCTGACCAGCTCTGTGTGATGCAGTCTGCAGTAAGTCTGTGCGTCTCTCCAGGACTTCGGCTCATTAACGAAGACGTATTTCTGGTTATTATCTCCCTGACCTAGAAGATTAAAAAGAACCAGAATGAAGACTTCTTCAAAGCCAGATATCTTCAGAAAGATCTTGCTGAATGCTCACCATCGTAGCACATGAAATATCTGATAGGAAAACAGTAGGTGTCGTATAAATGCCCATCGGTATACATCACTGCACAGTCTTCATACTCTATGATGACCTCTTCTTCTTTGGCTGCCCAGTTTCTGTATTCAGTTTCTCCTTCCTGGTAAAACTGTGGATCAGCCAGAGCCCAGCGCCACTGCTTACTGCCGCTTTTCTTCAGTCCAATCCAGGCGGATTCAGTGTACGTGAAGCTATCAAGCCCAAGGAGCTCCTCCATGTCTGCCTGGTCTGACAGAGTCACCAGATCAATGTAATTCTCTCGACAATATTGTTGAGCCTCATCAAAAGTCTTGGATTGATTCACGAAGTAGATGATTTTCTGTGATGAAGTATGTGAACCTTAAAAAGAAGAATTTTTCATGGGTTATATAGAAAAATACACCTTCAAATTATTCTGTTTTAGTTGAAATGTGCATCTACTCACAAATGACGAACAGAACGAAAACGATTCTCAGCTCCATTACTAAATACTTTCACCTGAATACCTAAAAATTAAACAGCACGTTGTTCCATCAGACTCCATTAATGTGACTTTAAAATTTGGTGCCTATTGGAAATTGATATTTTTTTCCCATAATTTAGTAATTATTAAATATTAGCTCTGTTATTTCCCTGTTCATTGATGTGAACGTACTTTGAATCTGTATTATTTAAAGTGCTACAGAAATAAATGTGACTTGATTTGGATGAAATAATGTCAAATAAAGAAATAATCCTAACATTAAATTAAAAATGGAATAGCACTGAATTAATACAAATATCTTACAATATTTCACTTCATTTTTGGGATAAAATTATACAGTGAAATATTAAGTACTTATATAAATATAAATAAGAATCCATAATACAAACAATCTCCTACCTGTAATGTTAGCTATGGAAATCCTGCAGACCTCTTAAGCCGTTTTTGTTCTTTGAGGTTCACTTTACACGACGTTTATCCCTCGGCTGGATCTACCGCTTTGGATTTCCTTTTTACTTGCAAAACCTCCCAGTTTGGATGGCATGGATTGATTTTCCCCCTGACATGTCTTGAAATATGAGGTGCTTTATTGAAAAAGTGCCAGAGAGCAAGGAAATGGTTTGAGGTCAAACAGACAATTTATAAACAAAACCTGACAGGCCAAAAAAATGGTCTGGAAGCAGAGCGCTACTACATGATTAACAAATAACGATCAGAAAATTTCAGCTGACTACCAAACGCAGTATAATTGGAGTATCTATTTCCACAGTGCGATAAGAGACCGAATTTTACTAATGGATGACTATTATTTTCACAAAAGTATTTGGGGACACAGATGGGAAATGTTACTGCAATACTATGAACTAGTGCACGTATTCATCCTAATTGACATGTGTATTTATGCATTTAGCAGATGCTTTTATCTGAAGCCATTACAGATAAGAAACATCACAAGCCATTTGCCCAAAATTTCCATAGTACTCAATGCTGGATTAAGTAAAAACTAGCCTAGTAAAGCTAGAGCAGATGTATGTTTCTGTGCTAGACAATTGGGGAAAACCTCATGCATGCATGAAAAAAAAAATGGAAACTTCAAATTTGTTTTTCCTTTGCATGCGGCTGCCTAATAAATTCTTAATTATTATTATTATTGTTATTTATTTTTT